TGTTCCACTTCCAATCCAGCTCTCTGCTGTAGCCTGGGATGGCAGTAGAAGATGGCCCAAGTCCTTGGGCCCCTGCACCCGCATAGGAGACCTGGAAGAATCTTCCAGCTCCTAGCTTCAGATCAGCACAGCTCCAGCCGTTGTGGCCATCTAAGGAGTGAATCAGCGGATGGAAGACTTTCTCTCTCTCTCTCTCTCTCTCTCTCTCTCTCTCTTTCTCTCTTTCTCTCTGCCTCTCTGCCTCTGCCTCTCTGTAACTCTGCCTTTCAAATAAACAAATAAATCTTAAAAAAAAAAAAAAAAAAGAATATGGCTTAAGTCCCAGCTGTTCCACTTCCCATCTATCTCCCTGAAAATATGCCTGGGAAAGCAGCCAAAGATTTGCCACCCATGTGAGAGGCCCAGATGGAGTTCCTGGCTCCTGGCTTCAGCCTGGCCCAGCCCTGGTTATTACAGTCATTTGGGGAGTAAACCAGCAGATGGAAAGTCTCTCTCTCTCTCCCTCTCTCTCTCTCACTATGCCTTTCAAATAAATAAATAAATAAAGGAACTAAAATACTTCCTTAGGAATAATTAGAAAAACTGGATTTGCAAACAATCAAGGGGTCTGGTGCTGTCGTCTAGCAGGTAAAAGCTGCCACATGCAGTGCCAGCATCCCATATGGGCACCGGTTCGAGTCCCAGCTGCTCCACTTCCGATCCAGCTCTCTGCTATGGCCTAGGAAAGCAGTAGAAGATGGCCCAAGTCCTTGGGCCCCTGCACCCGCATGGGAGACCCAGAGGAAGCTCCTGGCTCCTGACTTCGGATTGGCACAGCTCCAGTTGTTCAGGCCACTTGAGGAGTGAACCAGCGAATGGAAGACCTCTCTCTCTCTCTCTCTCTGCCTCTCCTTCTCTCTCTGTGTAACTCTGACTTTCACATAAATAAATCTTTAAAAGAAAAACAAAACTGAAGGACCCCAAAAGCGGTGTCCTTTTGTGACGACCCCAGAAACACAGACTCCAGACCAGACGATGCAAAAGGCAGGAGGCAGTTTTATTTCATTTGCGCAAATGGGCCCTCTACTGCTGCAAGCAGCGAGCAAGAGAGAGGAGCCCCGAACAATCATTTTACACAGTTTTTAAAGGGCAAAACCACAAAATTAACATACTATAGGGTGGCGTAAGTTTATTGGGCAACTACAAGGGGAGGAGGTCGTCAAGGAGGAGGAGAAACGGGGGGCTACGTGCCCTACGTGTCTAAGCTTGGATAAGGGGAGGGGGTCCTTGAAGAGCAGAAAGGGGTGGCTACGTGCCCTACGTGCCTCACAGTTTCTTTGTTAAGCTTGAACAAGCACAGGGGAGGGGGCTTATGTGCATACCAGGATGTTCTGTCGCCCTTATCTCTGGGTAGTAGCCCTTATCTCTGGGTAGTAGCTATCTGCTTTCTCTGTGAACTTAGTTTACTCCCCATTTCCCAGGACTGTTTTATTAAGGCCATTTTTTTATGGCGGCTCTTGGCTCTCGGCCGTTCCTTTCAAAAACAAAACTGGTTGAAGGATTGGAAAACTAAAGTCAAAAGATTTACAGGATGAAGATTCTTGAGCAAATGGAGTTGAGAGTAAACATAATAATGAAATTTTTTTCATGCGACATTTTTTGATTTGTAAGTGGAGAATAAGAATTAGAGACATTAGCAGCAAGTGAGGCAAGGAACAGAAACCGGACAGAAACTTTACATAGTCTCACTGAATGGAGGAAATGCAAGTTCAGAACCTATTACGGAAGAGAGCATTGGCAAATAGGTTTTTAATTAGTAAACTTTGAATGGCTACACATCAGAAGTAAAGGTTAGGAGCTGGTATTGTGTCATAGCAGGTTAAGCTGCTGCCAGCAACGTTGGCATTCCCTATGAGCACCAGTTCAAGACCCAGTTGGTCTACTTCTGATCCAGTTCCCTAATAATGTACCTGGGAAAGCAGTAGAAAATGGCCCAAAACACTGGGCCCCTGCCACCCACCTGGGAGACCCGGATGGAGTTCTAGGCTCCTGTCTTCAGCCTAGCCCAGCCCCAGCCATTGCAGCTATTTGGGGAGTGAACCAGTAGATGGAAGATCTCTCCCTCTCTCTCTGTAACTCTGGCTTTTAAAGAAACAAATCTTAGAAAAAGAAGGAGGAGGAGGAGGAGGAGACATAAAGGTTAACCAAAAATAGACCAACAAATATGGATTCCCTCATGGTATTACTTTCACTCCATACTGGATTGGGCTGATCTGCCCCTGCCTGAACTACCTACAAGAAGCAGCAGTAAATGTCTCTGGAGGATGGTAACATAATCTAGAGCCTCGCATGATTACTACAAATATATATTTTTAAATATTTTATTTATTTATTTATTTGAGAGGTAGAGTTACAGAGAAAGGGAGAGACGGAGAGAAAGGTCTTCCATTTGCTGGTTCACTTCTGAAATGGCTGCAACAGCTGGAGCTGAGCTGATCTGAAGCCAGGAGCCAGGAGCTTCTTCCCGGTCTACCACATTGGTGCAGGGGCCCAATGACTTGGGCCATCTTCTACTGCTTCCCCAGGCCATAGCAGAGAGCTGGATTGGAAGTGGAGCAGCCAGGACTCAAACTGGCACCCATATGGGATGCTGGCACTGCAGGAGGCGGCCTAGTCTACTACACCACTGTGCCGGTCTCCAACTGCTACAAATATTTATAATAGCATCCACTTAAAGGTGCCTCTATCAAAAGGTAAGGTCAGGGGCCAGGACTGTTGCATAAAAGATTAAGCTGTGGCTTGTGACAACTGCATTCCATATCCGAGTGTCAGTATGCCTCCTCCACTTCTGACTCAGCTTCCTGCTAGTGCACCTGGGAAGGCAACAAAGGATGGCCCAAGTACTTGGGTTCTGCCACTCACATAGGAAACTCAGATGGAGTTCCTGTCTCTAAGTTTCAGCATGGCCCAGCCCTGGCTGTTGCAGGCATTTGGGAACTGAACCAATAGATAGAAGATTCTCTGTCTCTCTCTCTCAAATAAATAAATAAATCTTTTTTTAAAAAAGATAAGCTCAAATGATGAAGGCAAAAAATAGAAACAGTCCCATTGGAGGTTCAGATTTGTCAGTTGTTATCAGAAATTTTAAAAGAATGGTTGGGGGCTGGCATTGTGCTGCTGTCTGTGATGGTGGCGTCCCACACTGGAGAGTTGATTCGCGTCCTGGCTACTCCATTTCTGATCTGGCTTCCTGCTAATGTGCCTGGGAAGGTAGAGGAAGATGGTTCAAGTACTTGGGCTCCTGCGATCCACAGGAAAGACTAGGATGGAGTTCCTGGCTTACAGTCATTTTGAGAGTGAACCAGCAGATGGAAGATCTCTTTCTCAAATACATAAATAGATCTTTAAAAAAATTATTATAAATAAATTAAGACAAGATGAAGAAATTTAGCAGATAATTAAAATCTGTCAAAAATGTAAATGGAAAATTTCAGTTCTGGGCAGAATGGAGGGGACGTGTTTGTATTTTTCTCACCAAGGACAGCAAAATCTTCATACACTGTAAGTGAAACAAAAATAAGAAGACTTAGAGCAGAAAGAATGCAGAGTGGCTAGGGCCTCAGGATGTGGAGAACAATGTGGGAGCGAGTGCCCTGAACACTCTCTTCACTTCGTATATCCCATAATGGGTGCAGAATGCCAACGGATGCAGATAAGAAAAGCCCAAAGGAAATTCTTCTCTGTCCAAAGGACCAGGAAATAAGTAGCCTAGCAAGACAGCATACTAAAAGTTGTAACAGTAATATTGCACTACTCCAGACAAATGCCACAGAAAAAAACCTGCTGCCAGCAGAGGCTGAGTGCGGAGCCTAGACTGCCTCGGCCGCCGCCAGGCCCTCAGCCTGGGTGGTGCCAAGGACAGCAAAGCTGGGGGGCCAGGGCTCCTCAGCTGCCCAATGATAACAAGATCTCTGGGTTTCAAATACATAAATACAATCTCTAGAACAAAACGACTGAAGGGAATTCTTGAAACAGAAAGGAAATGATCGAAAAGGAACCTTGTTGGGCTGGCGCTGTGGCATAATGGGTTAAGCCACCGTCTGCAAAGCCAGCATCCCATATGAGCACTGCTTTGTGTCCTGGCTGCTCCATTTGTAATCCAGCTCCCTGCTAACGAGCCTGGGAAAGCAGTGGAACATGGCTCAGGTGCTTGGGCCCTTGTCACTCACGTGAGAGACCAGGAAGAAGCTCCTGGCTCCTGAATTCAGATCAACCCCAGCTCCAGCTACTGCGGCCATTTGGGGAGTGGACCAATGGATGGAAGACCTCTGCCTCTTTCTATCTCTTCCTCTCTGTCTGTAATTCTTTCAAATAAATAAATACATAAATATTAAAAAGAAAAGGAAACTGGAGACATGTGGAAGAACAAACAATGGAAAGCATAAAATATAGGTAAACTGAGTAGGCTTTCGTCTGCCCCAGAATTCTGTAAATTGCGTTTGACAGTTAACAATTACAACTATGTCTGGTGGTTCTCGCCGGGTGTCGAGGAAATACTAGAGGCATTATTAATAGGCAGGGGGAACGTCACAGGTGGTTTCTACACTTGACCAGAGCCGGAACAAGGTCGGTACGAGTAGCTGTAAGGGTGGGTTTGGATGAGAGCCCGTGTGAGCAGTTAGCAAGCACTCTCTGCACAGGAAAGAGGGCTGAGACTCTGAGCGAGCCGCCAGCGGGGAGAAGGCTCACGCCAGAGAGACTGCGTGGCGGAGCACAGGATCCTGAGGGATGGGCTTCGGGGAGAAAAGTCTCTGTCTCCAAGAAAGGAAGAGGCCGGCTGAAGATACACAGCTGAGAGTTGAGGGAAATGGAGGGAGTTCTGTGTGAGGGCGGCTCTCTGAGAGAAGGGAGAAGTCCACAGGAGGGAGATGAGCACGGCTTGGGGCCTGGAAAGCGAGTCTGAGCACCCGAACACCGACACTCTGCGAATTTCAGGAACTCAAGTTTTCAGTCCCGTGACTCAAAAACTGCGAGATCCCGAGTGGGCCACCAGGTGGCGGGCTCTGGGAGGTTCTTGTATCCCATCGGCCTCGGCGCCCAGAGCGGAAGAAGGCGTGGAGGGGACTCTCTGGCTCGCACCGTGTCTACTCTCCTATCCCGACTGACGTTGGACAACAAAGATGGCGGCAGGAACCAGCAATTACTGGGAAGGTGAGGGCGAGGCCTCCGGGTGGGTCCTGTGAGGGGCAGGGGACTGAGGGAGGGCGCGTCTTGGGGGAGGTAGCAGAGGAAAGAGCCAGATCTCCGGAGGGGCCGAGCTGGGGGCGGGACCTGCGCCGCGGGAGCCCTGGGGGCCTGCGGACTGAGGAGACCCAACGGTCCGGCTGACTCCGCGGGCTGAATGGGACCTGGGGCAGGGGTTGGCGCCGGGGACGGAGCCGTCATGGCGGGGCGGAGGGGCCCCCAGCGCCAGGTGTGATCCGGCCTTACGGGTGGTGGAACCAGGAGCTGCCGTGTGCAGTCGGGAGCTGAGCGTCGAGCGAGGAAACGCCGAGCCCGGAGGCTGGAGGAGTCGGCGCCTTGGAGTTGAGGGCACTGTTAGAAGACTGAGTGGGGAACGAGAAAGGAGGAACTTGTCAGTCCCAGTGCCCAGGGGGATGAGGGCAGGGCGGCCTCTGCCGGGTCCGCACGGCAGCTTCCGTCTGGGACTTGGAGGACTGCGTGCTTGGAGGCAGAGAGAGTAACTTTGCTTTCCGCTCCGGCGTCTAGGATCAGTTTTCTTACAGAAGAGAAAGTTGAGAGAGCCTTTGCGAGTTGTGACTACATTGGCGGTACCTCTTGCACCAAAGAAAAGCTTGTGACTTGACAGCTGTGTTTATTCACTTCCTGAAACTATGGTCCGATAAAGTGAAGTCACTCACAGCGCAGAGCAGAGCTTTGCGCTCGACAGGGATCAGAGAAGCTCAGCTTTCCCTGTCGCTTGTCTTCACATAGACTGAGAACCCGCCCTCCGAATCCTGTTCCCCTTTTGCACTGTTGCCTGTTGCTACGCCCCGAAGCGTGTAGAAATCAGTGTTGCCACTGCCAGCCACTTGGTCCAAGAAACTCAGTTTTAAGTTCGCTCTTTCTTGCCTTTCTTACTTGTTTGTCGTTGTTGTTTGTGGGTTTGTTTTTACTGGGGTGAGGACACAGGGTGGGGAAGGGTGCCCGTCTTTCAGAACGCTTTTACTTGATTTTTTTTTTTTTTATTGGAGAAGACAATCACTAAAACTACAGACAGGTGTGCTGTATTTGAAATAATGCGGACTAGCTAGAAGAATTTTAAAATTATGTACAAATGGCTACTGATACCTGTAATACTGGTCAGTAGGCTCTGGTTTTTGGAAGCACCATACTGTACTATTTATAGCAGCTCATTATTCACAACCTACTCTGTGCCAGGTGCTTTAGGTGAAGGTAAGGGTTGAAAAAACAGAAAGCTGAGATTCATAGGCCAAGGAGATGGCCAGTAAATCCGAGCCAGTGAGTACCTGAGCTGAGATTTGAACTGGGGTTTGGTCCCTGGCTTATATGCTCCACCATATTGTTCTTCCTACTTCTGGTTGCAGAGTGTATTGAAAAATATGTTTTGTATCCCTTATCCCTGGAAAAAGATATTCTTATACCATTCTTTCGTTTGAGAGTATTTCAGAAAGTTTGTGGGAAAATGGAATTAAAAGTTTTTGGTGGGGTGGATGTCGGGGCATGGCGGTTAAGCCTGCATCCCATATCAGAGTACCTGGGTTTGAGTCCCAACTCCGCTTCCTACCAGTGTACACTCTGGGAGGCAGCTGACAGTAGCTTGACTGCTTGGGTTCCTGGCTTTGACCTGGCTCCATCCCAGCTGTTGGCGCATTTGGAGAGTAAACCAGTGGGTGGCAGTACTCCCCCCGACTTCTGCCTCTTTCAAATAAAACTTTAAGAATTTGTTTTGGAATCCATGCATATGCCAGGTCTTCAAAATGTTTGTGGGCACCTTTTGCCTAGCAGTTCTGACTCCTCCATCCAAATGCCTGGATTCAATGCTGGGGTTCTTTCCTACTCCAGCTTCCTGCTGCTGCAGGCCCTGGGAGGCAGCAGTGATGGCACAAGTAATTGGATTCATGGCACTTAGGTGGGGGGTCTGGATGGAGTTTCTTGCTCTCAGCTTCTGCTTGGCCCAGCCCAGGATCTTGCAGATATTTGGGGCATGAACCAGCAAATGGAGCCCTCTACTTCCCTGTCTCTCTCTTGCTCACTCTGTCTCACTCATGGGTGTGCACATGCACATTCTCTCTGCCTCTCAAATTTAAAGGAAAAAAAATTAAAAAAAAAATTTTTTTTTTATTTTTTTGACAGGCAGAGTTAGAGAGAGAAAGGTCTTCCTGGCTGGCGCCGTGGCTCAATAGGCTAATCCTCCACCTAGCGGCGCCGGCACACCGGGTTCTAGTCCCGGTCAGGGCGCCAGATTCTTTCCCGGTTGCCCCTCTTCCAGGCCAGCTCTCTGCTGTGGCCTGGGAAGGCAGTGGAGAGGATGGCCCAAGTGCTTGGGCCCTGCACCCCATGGGAGACCAGGAGAAGCACCTGGCTCCTGCCTTCGGATCGGCGCGGTGCACCGGCCGCAGCGTGCCAGCCGTGGTGGTCACTGGAGGGTTAACCAACGGCAAAAGGAAGACCTTTCTCTCTCTCTCTCTCACTATCCACTCTGCCTGTCAAAAAAAAAAAAAAAAAAAAGGAAAGAAGGTCTTCCTTTTTCTGTTGGTTCACCTCCCAAGCGGCCGCTACGACTGGTGCGCTGTGCTGATCCGAAGCCAGGAGCCAGGTGCTTCCTCCTGGTCTCCCATGCAGGTGCAGGGCCCAAGCACTTGGGCCATCCTCCACTGCACTCCTGGGCCACAGCAGAGAGCTGGCCTGGAAGAAGGGCAACTGGGACAGAACCAGCACCCCAACCGGGACTAGAACCCAGGGTGCCGGCACTGCAGGTGGAGGATTAGCCTAGTGAGCCACAGCACCGGTCAGGAGAAAAAATTTTAAGTTTGTGAAAATGCATATTATGAAAACTATGCATGGGGGCCGGCGCTGTAGCATAGCAAGTAAAGCCACCGTCTGCAGTGGCAGCATCCCATATGGGCACCGGTTTGAACCCAGCTGCTCCACTTCCGATCCAGCTCTCTGCTGTGGCCCTGGGAAACCAGTAAAAGATGGCCCAAGTCCTTGGGCCCCTGCACCTGGATGGGAGACCCGGAAGAAGCTCCTGGCTCTGGCTTCGGATTGGCGCAGCTCCGGCCCTTGCGGCCAACTAGGAATTGAACCATCAGATGGAAGATCTCTCTCTCTCTCTCTCTCTCTCTCTGCCTCTCCTTCTCTCTGTGTAACTCTGACTTTCAAGTAAATAAATAAATCTTTAAAAAAGAACTTAACGTTTTGATTTCTGGCTTGTATTTGATCTTACTGATAGCATATTTTTTATTATTACTTTGAGCCTCTCGATTCTTTAGATGAGTTTATTAAAAAGCAGATTTTAATTCTTGTAATGATAATTTATTTTGTTTTCATTTTACTATTATTAAAATAATTTCTTTTTTCAGAAGATTTATTTATTTATTTATTTGAAAGAGTAACACAGAGAGAGAGGTCCTCCATCCGCTGGTTCACTCCCCAGTTGGCTGCAACAGCTGGAGCTGTGCTGATCTGAAGCCAGGAGATTTTTCCAGGTCTCCCATGTGGGTGCAGGGGCCCAAGGACCTGGACCATCTTCTACTGCATTCCTAGGCCACAGCAGAGAGCCGGATCGGATGTGGAGCAGCCAGGACCCAAACCAGCACCCATATGGGATGCTGGTACCACAGGCTTTGGCCTTACCTGCTACACCACAGTGCCAGCCTCAAAAGAATTTTTTAAGCCTAATAATGCTTTGGAACATAAAAAGACAGCAAAAATCCCTGTCAAAAGCAAACTCTTATAAATTTAGCTGGCAAATTGATATATTAATTGTAAACTCTGTTCAGTTTCTTTGTAATTTGTATTCTCATTTTTCTCTGAGTTACAGAAATTGAGTTATTGGTATAGAAATAATTTCAGGGCTGTTAGAACAACATTTGTTGTCTAGCTGTCTTTGGAATAAATCTGCCTCTTTTATTGCTATTTGGTTTCTTGCTCCATCCATCTGAAGTTGAAAAAAAGTATGACTAATTTACTTTCCTGGATAAGTCTTCAGTTTTCTCTTTTATGGGGGGGGAGGGTCTAGATCAGTATCTCCTCATTTTTCACAGTTTGCTTTCTTCACAGTAGCCTTGTGCTGGGCAGGTGTTTGGCTCAGCAGTTAAGTCACCACTTGGGAAGCTCATATCAGAGTCAGGTTCCTGTCCCAGCTCCACTTCTGAGTCCAGCTTCCTGCTAATGCATGCGCTGGGAGGCAGCTGGTGATGGCTCAAGTAATTGGATCCCTGCCAAACACAGGGGAGACTTGGATTGTGCTCTAGGCTCCTGGCTTCTGCCTGGATCGGCCCCGGGTGTTGCAAGCATTTGAGGAATAAGCAAGTGACTGGAAGATTTCTCTCTGCCTTTCAAATATTTTTTTAAAAAAAGGAGTAGTGTTGTGATTTTCATGTCTGTTGATGGTCTGTTGGGGTCTAATTATTTGCTCTTATGAATTTGTTTAAGATCTCAGGAAGCAGGCGAGACAGCTGGAAAATGAACTTGACCTGAAGCTAGTTTCCTTCAGTAAACTGTGTACAAGTTACAGTCACAGCAGTGCCCGAGATGGAAGACGCGACAGGTATAGGTACTACCAGATTCTCTTATGCCTTAAACTGTATAATGTTTTTAAAGCATTCAAAGTTAAACTAAAATATACAACCTCTGTAACTTGGTCTATTCAACTTTTCATGTTTCTTTTTCTCTGTTGCTTTATTTTTCTATATTTCTATATTTCTCTATTGCTTTATTTTTGTGACTTACTAAATTCTTTCTAATTCTTTTTTTTTTTTTTTTTAAGATTTATTTATATATTTGAAACTCAGAGTTACGCAGAGAGAGAAAGAGAGGTCTTCCATCCGTTGGCGCACTCTTCAACTGGCCACAGCAGCTGGAACTGTGGCTATCCAAAGCCAGGAGCCAGGAGTTTCTTCCCGGTCTCCCACACAGGTGCAGGGGCCGAGGGCCTGGGCCATCCTCTACTGCTTTCTCAGGCCATAGCAGAGAGCTGGATGGGAAGTGGAACAGCTGGGTCTCTAAGTGGCGCCCATATGGGATGCCAGAACTTCAGGCCAGGGCGTTAACCTCTGCACCACAGCGCCAGCCCCAGTTCTTCCTAATTCTTGGGACAGTATTTATTTGGAATCCTTAGACAAAGATTGTGACAGTGTTGGGGAGACTGCTAGGACTTAAGAATGAGTTTGTATCAAAAACAAGAATTTGTAGTACAGCTAGTGTAAAAAATTTGACTGATTTACCCACATCATATTTCTTGTTTTCTAATTGCTAAATAGATCTGAGGAGGTGCCCCAATGCAAAGTATTCCTGCTGTTCTACTGTTTATTCTATTAGACTCTAATGCAGTGTGCAGCCTCAAATTGTTGAAGCTATTTTTAATTTGGGTACTTTTTGGAGAAATCAAGTTATTACCATATTGAATATATGGAAACTGTGTTATCTTTGAATCCTATGCTCATTTTTAGTCAAACTTTTAAAATTGGGAAATATTTAAGACACTTAGAAAATAATAAGGAAGAATATAATGAACCCCCAGTACCTATCTCCCAGTTTAAACAGTGATCATTATCAATTCAGTTGAACCCCTTGTGATGTCCAGCATTCTTTCTCTTTATAATCATATATTTTTTACTATCTGTGTTTATATTTCTAAGCAATTCATGGTATTCTGTTATTGTTACATAATTTGCAACTTGCATTTTTGTTTAATATTATCTTTTTAGATTCAGCTATGGATCTGTAACTGGTATATGCATTTGCTGTATATGGTGGTATACTGTATATGTAGCTTAAACAGTTGATGGATGGATGTTGTTTCTCATTCTTGCTAATTAGCAATAAAAATAATTTTAAAAGCTGACAGAGAGACTGGCGCCATGGCTCAATAGGCTAATCCTCCGCCTGCGGCGCTGGCACCCCGGGTTCTAGTACTGGTCGGGGCACCAGATTCTGTCTCGGTTGCTCCTCTTCCAGTCCAGCTCTCTGCTGTGGCCCGGGAGGGCAGTGGAGGATGGCCCAAGTGCTTGGGCCCTGCACCCGCATGGGAAACCAGGAGAAGCACCTGGCTCCTGGCTTCGGATCAGCGCGGTGCGCCAGCCACAGTGGCCACTGGGGGGTGAACCAACGGCAAAGGAAGCTCTCTCTGTCTTTCTCTCTCACTAACTCTGCCTGTCAAAAAAAAAAAAAGCTGACAGAATATTCATCATATCTCAGGTACTGTTCTAAGAGATTTATGTAAATCCTGCTGGAAATATTTTTTTTTAAAGATTTATTTATTTATTTGAAAGTCAGAGCTACGCAGAGAGTATCTTCCATCGATGGTTCACTCCCCAGATGGCCGCAACGGCCGGAGCTGTGCCGATCTGAAGCCAGGAGTCAGGAGCTTCTTCCGGTTCTCCCACATGGGTGCAGGGGCCCAAGGACTTGGGCCATCTTCTACTGCTTTCCCAGGCCATAGCAGAGAGCTGGACAGGAAGCGGAGCAGCCGGGACTGGAACTGGCGCCCATATGGGATGCCGGCGCTTTTAGGCCAGGGCGTTAACCCACTGCACCACCACTCCGGCCCCTGCTGGAAATATTTTAAACAGAATGTTCCTATATTCCTAGCAGTGAAATTCCTGGTATCAAAGTTGTTAGTTGTTAATCTACTCTTACTTAACATGCTTTTCCAAAGGTTAGTAATATGTGAGGTATTTTTCAGCTAATTATAAAGACAACAAAAGCTCAGCTTGGATTTGAACCAAGGTCTTTCCACTTCCAGAACACACATTCTAAATCCTACTGTATTCATGTTCCAACAAAAGGCTCATATCCACACTGTAGCCAAAGTATTGTTTCTTTTAGTAAGGGTACATTGCTTGTAAAGAGCAGAGCCAACGTGTTTACCCTAGGACCTAAAGTTGAATTATCAACATGTAATATAGATTTTATAGCAGTGTGTTGCTTTGGGTTTACCTTTATATACCAAGTGAAAAGAATCTGGACTGTTCCTTTATATGACTTTTTTTTTTTTTTAAAGATTTATTTATTTTGTTTGAAAGTCAGAGTTACACAGAGAGAAGGAGAGGAGAGAGAGAGAGAGGGAGGTCTTTCATCCGATGGTTCTCTCTCCAATTGGCTGCCGCGTTGGAGCTGTGCTGATCCGAAGCCAGGAGCCAGGAGCCTCCTCTGGGTCTCCCACGCGGGTGCAGGGGCCCAAAGACTTGTGCCATCCTCTACTGCTTTCCCAGGCCATGGCAGAGAGCTGGATTGGAAGTGGAACAGTCTGGACTTGAACCGGCACCCATATGGGATGCCAGCTCTGCAGGTGGCAGCTTTACTTGCTATGCCACAGCGCTGGTCCCAAGCTGCTCATTTATTAGTGCATACCATCTGGGGCCTGAGGAGAGTTAGTGGTTTTTCAGAAGAGGCAAAAGAAACTTTTCAGACATGTGGTTTTCTAATTTGAATCTGGGGCCAGCATTGTGGTATAGTGGGTAAAGCCATCTCCTGCAGTGCCAGCATCCCATATGGGTGCCAGTTTGATTCCTGGCTGTTCTACTTCCGGTCAAGCTCTCTGCTATGGCCTGGAAAGCAATGGAAGATGGCCCAAGTCCTTGGGCCCCTGCACCCATATGGGAGACCTGGAAGAGGCTCCTGGCTGTCTGTGTTTTAGCCAATTCCTGATTATTCAGTAACTGGTTATCTGATCTGTGGATTGTTTAAATTTAAGTCTAATGAGGGCTGGTGCCGTGGCTCACTTGGTTAATCCTCCACTTGCAGCGCCGGCATCCCATATAGGCACTAGGTTCTAGTCCCTGCTCCCCCTCTTCCAGTCCAGCTCTCTGCTGTGGCCCTGGAGGGCAGTGGAGGATGGCCCAAGTGCTTGGGCTCCTGCACCTGCATGGAGACCAGGAAGAAGCACCTGGCTCCTGGCTTCAGATTGGTGCAGCGCCAGCTGCAGCACCAGCCGTAGTGCTGGCCGTAGCGGCCATTTGGGGAGTAAACCAACAAAGGAAGACCTTTCTCTCTGTCTCTCTCTCACTGTCTAACTCTGCCTGTCAAATTAAAAAAAAAAAAAAAAAGTCTAATGAACCATAACTTCTTTGGGGTAGAATTTTTAAGATTATTCCTTGTAGACCCTGTAGCATAATACATTGTATAACTCCTCTTACATGCTGTATTTCTTAGTGCTACAGTTTCATTTCACATAATTTGTTCTCAGATTCAAAATTGGGCATTGCCATTAGATTAAGTTAATTTCTATCATTTGGGAAACTGTAAACAAGCATTTGGAATTTCTTTACATTATTAGAGATTGGAGCTATTAATGCTTGGGAGAGCTTGTATTTGATGATATTTTATGCTGAAATAAAATACTCAGTAATCATTATAGGAGAACTTCTATAAAAATAATTTCTGATTTTTATGTCTCAGGGATTCTATTTGACCTCTTTAAGAATTCTTTATTGTTTTAAGTATATTTTAAAGGACTATGTGAGTAATGGATTCCCTTTCATTGAACTTCTCTAGTTCTGACACAACACCCCTTTTAAACGGATCAAGTCAAGACAGAATGTTTGAAACAATGGCCATTGAGATTGAACAGCTTTTGGCAAGAGTAAGTGCTTTCTGTTGAATTACTCTTTTGCTAGTATCTGTATACTTGTTAGATATGATCCAGGATTATGTTAATGCAGACATGTTTATTGAAAGCACCCATTTGTTCAAGATATGTGTCTCACCAGGCCACTCGAATTTCAGTGAGAGCCATTCCCATGTTGTATGGGTGTTGTTCTAGCAATTAGGGAATGAGGAGGAAATGCCGAATCCTTACCTATTGTCTTGTGTGGTGTTTCTGCTGTCAGCCAAAAGAGCATATAGACAGTTTTCTGTTAGCTGTCATTAGTGCTTTCTAAATTATTTTTGTTTTCTTCTTTCTTTCTAGCTTACAGGAGTGAATGATAAAATGGCAGAATATACCAATAGTGCAGGTGTACCCTCATTGAATGCAGCTCTGATGCACACACTACAGCGACACAGAGACATATTGCAGGTAATATCTTGGGCTTGAGACTTGGGCAAGAGGTTTTTTTTTCTATATTGCTGAATAGGATGTGTACTCATGTATTTTAAAGAGCAAAGAGAGGGGGCCGGTGCTGTGGCATAGTGGGTAAAGCTGCTGCCTGCAATGCGGGCATCCCATATGGGAGCCGGTTTGAGTCATAGCTGCTCTACTTCTGGTCCAGCTCTCTGCTATGGCCTGAGAAAGCAGTAGAGGATGGCCCAAGTCCTTGGACCCCTGTACCTGCATGGGAGACCGGGAGAAAACTCCTGGCTCCTGGCTTCGGATCAGCACAGCTCTGGCCTCTGTGGCCAGTTGGGTAGTGAACCAGCAGATGGAATACCCCCCACCCTCCTCTCTCTTTCTTTTTCTCTCCCTCTCCCTCTTCCCCTCCTCCCCCTCTCGGCTCTCTCACTCTCTTTCTCCGCCTCTCCTTCTCTCTTTGTGTAACTCTTTCAAATAAATAAATAAATATTCAAAACCAAAAAAAAGAGAAAAATCATCTGAGAAGATAAATGCCTTGCTATAGAAATGTCTTATTTTACTTTTGTCAGCATTACAAAATTCTGAAAATGTCTCGTAGGTCTTGTATTTTCCTGATGAATTGAATAATACCCATCACTGAGTAAATGGAAGATATAGCCAATTATGACAGTGCAATAACCAGTGGTCATGCATAATAGGCAATATCTACTGGTTAGAGTGTTGTTTCTTCAGAGCCTCATGAAAATAATTTACTATATTTAGTATACTAAATTTATACCAATAAAACTAAACTTTTTTTTTAAGATTTATATATTTGAAAGTCAGAATTACAAAGAGAGAGGGAGAGATTTTCCAACCTCTGGTTCATTCCCCAGTTGGGTGCAGTAGCCAGGGCTGAGCCAGGAACTTCACCTGGGTCTCCCCACAGGGGTGGCAGGGATGGCACTTAGGCCATCTTCTGCTGTTTGGCCTTGTGGTTAAGATGTCAGTTAAGACTCATGCGTCCTGTGCCAGAGTGACTGAGTTCCTCTCTGCCTCCTGTCTCATCTTCCTGCTAATACAGACCCAGGAAGCAGCACATGTTGACTCAAGTACTTGGGTTCCTGCCACCATGTGGGAAACCACATTGAGTTCTGGGCTCTGAGCTTTGACCTGGTCCTGACTTAGCTATTTGCTGGCATTTGGGGAGCAAACTAGAGAATGGAAAATCAGTATCTCTGTCTTGCTTACTCTCTCTCTCTCTTTCCCTCTCTCTCTCTCTCCCTCTCCCCTTCAAGTAAAATTTCTTTAAAAAAACTGTTAAGGGGACAGCGCTGTGGCGTAGCCAGTAAAGCTGCCACCTGCAATGCTGGCATCCCATATGGGCGCCAGTTTGAGTCCTGGCCGATCCACTTCCGATCCAGCTCTCTGCTATGGCCTAGGAAAGCAGTGGAATGGGCCCCTAAACCCTTGTGGGAGACACAGAAGAAGCTCCTGGCTCCTGGCTTCAATTGGCGCAGCTCTGGCCATTGCAGCCAATTGGGAAGTAAGCCAACGGATGGAAGACCTTTCTCTTTCTCTCTCCTTCTGTATGTAACTATGACTTTCAAATAAATAAATAAATCTCTAAAAAAAAAAAACCTTAAAAACTAGAATAAAGATAGTTTGATTCTTGAGAAAAAAAAAGCTTTCAATATAGTACAATAAACAATTCATGGATAGATGCAAATATGCATGGAAATTTAGTTTCTGATAAGGTTTGTGTTTTAAATCGGTGGGATGAAGTGAAATTATAAACAGACTGTAACAATTGACTAATTGGGGGATATGAGTGATAGCAATTTCAGTCTCTATTTCAGTTCTCATACCCAGAATATATTCCAAGTGGATTAAAAATTTTAATGTTGAAAAAGAAACCATTGGAAGTTCAGAGTAATGCATGAATGAAATTTATTAGTTTTAGGCCGGCGCCGCGGCTCACTAGGCTAATCCTCCGCCTAGCGGCGCCGGCACACCGGGTTCTAGCACCGGTTGGGGCACCGGATTCTGTCCCGGTTGCCCCTCTTGCAGGCCAGCCCTCTGCTGTGGCCAGGGAGTGCAGTGGAGGATGGCTCAAGTGCTTGGGCCCTGTACTCCATGGGAGACCAGAATAAGTACCTGGCTCCTGCCATCAGATCAGCGCGGTGCGCTGGCCGCAGCGCGCTGGCCACGGTGGCCATTGGAGGGTGAACCAATGGTAAAAGGAAGACCTTTCTCTCTGTCTCTCTCTCTCACTGTCCACTCTGCCTGTCAAAAAAAAATTATTAATTTTTGAGTGGTACAGGGCAAGACCTAATTCAAGAAACTTCTAGGCCGGCGCCACGGCTCACTAGGCTAATCCTCCACCTTGCGGTGCCGGCACACCGGGTTCTAGTCCTGGTCGGGGCGCCGGATTCTGTCCCGGTTGCCCCTCTTCCAGGCCAGCTCTCTGCTGTGGCCAGGGAGTGCAGTGGAGGATGGCCCAAGTGCTTGGGCCCTGCACCCCATGGGAGACCAGGAGAAGCACCTGGCTCCTGCCATCGGATCAGCACAGTGTGCCGGCCGTGGTGGCCATTGGAGGGTGAACCAATGGCAAAGGAAGACCTTTCTCTCTGTCTCTCTCTCACTATCCACTCTGCCTGTCAAAAAAAAAAAAAAGAAAGAAAAGAAAACTTATAAATGGGCAAATTCACAAAATATACAGAGAAATTAACAGAAAAAGTTTAATATGAAAATGGACAAAGAATTTGAACTTCCTTACAAAAAAAGAATGACCAAAATCTCATTTTATTTCACCTATGACATTTTTTTATTTATTTATTTTAAGATTTTATTTATTTGGAGATAGAATTACAGGAGAGAGGGACAGACAGAAAGAGAGGTCTTCCGTCTTATGGTTCACTCCCCAAATGGCCGCAGAGGCTGGAGCTGGGTCAATCTGAAGCCAGAAGCTTCTTCTAGGTCTCCCATGAGGGTTCAGGGGCCCAAGCACTTGGGCCATCTTCTACTGCTTTCCCAGGACATAGCAAGGAGCTAGATAGGAAGAGAGCAGCTAGGACTCGAACCAGTGCCCATATGGGATGCTGGTGCTACAAGGAGGAGGATTAGCCCACTACACCACAGCACTGACCCCAAGAATGACCAAAATCATAAAAAGATGTTTAGCCATATTCTCTAATAAAAATATAGAAATTGACATGATTTTTACTGGTCAGATTAGTAAGTATTGAAACTTATCTCCCATTACTGGCAAAATTATACACGAGACACTTGTATGTTATTGTTGGGAACATAAATTGGTGCAGGGTTGAAGAAAAGGGTACAGTAAAATAAATATGAAAGACTATTGCAGCTGAAACTTTTTTTTTTTTTAATTTATTTGAGAGAGCGAGCACATCCATCCCTGGGTTCAGTCCTCCAAATGCCTTCAACAGCCAGTGCAGGGCTGGGCTTGGCCAAGGGTGAGAGTTGGGAACTCAAGCCGAGTCTACTACATGGGTGGCAGGAACCCAACTACTGGCGTCTTAACCACTAGGCTCAAAACCCTCCCTGCAGTTTTTTGTTGCTGTTAAGATTGATTTGTTTGAGGGCTGGCGCTGTGGCATAGTAGGCTAAGCCTCTGCCTGCAGCGCCAGCATCCCATATGGGCGCCAGTTCATGTCCCAGCTGCTCCACTTCCAGTCCAGCCCTCTGCTCATGGCCTGGGAAAGCAGTGGAGGATGGCCCAAGTGCTTGGTCCCCCACACCCATGTTGGGGACGGAGGAAGCTCCTGGCTCAGCTCCAGCCGTTGTAGCCATTTGGAAAGTAGACCAGCAGATGGAAGACCTTTCTCTCTCTCGTCTGTCACTCTGCCTCTCAAAGAAATACATAAAATCTTTAAAAAAAAAGGGGGGGGGGCGGTTATTTATTTGAAAGGCAAAGTAACAAAAACAAAAATACAAGGACACAATAGCCAGGTCTGGCCCTGTCTGAAGCCAGGAACCTAGAACTCCATCCTGGTCTCCCATGTGGGTGGCAGAAGCCCAAGTACTTGGGCCATCTTCTGCCTTCCCAGGTGCATTAGCAGGGAGCTGGATTGAAAGTAGAGTAGATGAGACTTGAATGAGTGCTTTCGTATGGGATGCTGGTGTAGCAAACAGCTGCTTCACCCGTTGCTCTACATGCATGCCTCTGCGGCATTTTTTAATAGCAAAAAAAATTAAAATTAAAATTTTATCAGGGAATTTATTAAATTAATGTTCTTTTCCATATTCTCCCCAGGATCATGGTTATTTTTGTTTTTAGAAGGTTAACATGTACTTTGTGAGAGATTTTGAACTTTATCTGCTTTTCTGAATTTTAAAAACAATATTCCTTAAATCTTTTTAAAATAGCCATATAAAAATAAAATATATAATGATTGTTTTGTTCTTTACAGTTCTCTGTTCTTTTGATTAATTTAGGAATTGACTGTCTGGGAACAGTTAATTCTCTGAAAGAATGAGATTTTGAAAATAAGCCCATGGATGTACAATTGAATAGAAAGAGCCTCCCAACTTTTATCCTAGGCTGTTTTAATCATTTTATCTTAGATTTTTTTCCAATTCTATCTCATAAGAAAAAGCCGCTGGAAGATCGGAGCACAGAAATTTTAAATGAAACTGATAACCCGTGAATTATTTTCATTTGAAAGAAGTTAGTCACTCTTGAGGAAAGTAACTATAAAGTTATTTTCACCTTTTGGTAATTTGATTTCTTAAATAGCAGTTTTCTTGATAGACATTCACAACATGATAACTGATGCATAACTGATTCAATCAAATGGAAATAGTAGTGCATAACTAGCTTATGTTGAGATTGGATATTGGTTTATTGCAGGATTATACGCATGAATTCCATAAAACGAAAGCAAATTTTGTAGCAATACGGGAAAGGGAGAATCTCATGGGATCAGTGCGAAAGGATATTGAGTAAGTTACCTTTTATATTTTGTAGAACATTCAGATTTAGCTTTAGAATGTGTCTGTGATTAATTTCAAATGAGTCGGAAAACCATGATTTAGATTTCAGAATCTCTAATTCCCATTTCATTGTCTTTGAACATTACAGCAACAACATGGTCCTAATCTACATTGTATCAGTCTTATCTCCTGACTTCTGTCAACCCTGACTTTACTGTCTTAGTTCAAAGTTCAACTTAGATGATCTCTTCATGAATTCTTCTCTGATTTCTTACCGCCCACCCTAAGAATTACATTATCAATAACTGAAGCTTTCTATGTCTCACTTCCTGATTATTATATATCTCCTGCCCATTAATTATATTTTCAGGTAGCTATTATCATAGCATTACCTATTTTTTTGAAATCTTGAAACCTTCCCAGATTTAATGCATTCTCATAGCCTCACATGAAATTATTTAAGGACTGCTAACATTTTTGTACTGATATCATTCCTGATGTCATTTGGGGAGCTGAGTGAACCAACAGATGGAAGATAATTCCCTCCTTTTCCCTCTCCCCTGTACCTGTCTCTCTGCCTTTCAAATAAAAAATTAGAGAAACATTCATATTTCTTTATATCATTCTTAGTGGGAAGTGGAAAAGATTACGTATTTTAATTGTTCATTCAAAACCATGAAGCCACTCAATTTGTCTACTTTATCATTGGAATTAGTCACTTAATATGATTTTGCGGTATCTGTTCTTAACTTTTCTCTGTATTCTAGGTCATATAAAAGTGGGTCTGGAGTCAACAACAGAAGAACTGAACTGTTTTTGAAAGAACATGATCACCTTCGAAAGTAAGTATTTAGTGTTCGTGCACCATTTTTCCCTGTTTCCTAATTTACTTACTTACCTACAAAACATCTTGTGCTTTTTATTATACCAAGTACCCTGTCAATTATAGTTCATTTTATTCTTCCAAATATCCAATTTGATAGAACTAGAATTGCAGCTGCTCAACTGGAATTAGGAAAAAAGACTGTGCTGTTAATTCTTTGTCATTTAATTGTTAACTGAAATTTTTTTTAAGATTTGTTTATTTGAAAGTAAGAGAGAGAGAGAGAGAGAGAGAGAGAGCTTCCATCTACTGATTCACTCCACCAAATGACCACAGTGGTCATAGCTGGGCCAGACCAAAGCCCGGAGCCAAGAGCTTCATCTGAGTCTTCTGTCTTTTGCTGCTTTCCCAGGCACATTAGCAGGGAGCTGAATCAAAATGGAGCAGCAGAGCCAGCATTATGGTACAGTAGGTTAATCCTATGCCTGTGGTGCCAGCATCCCATATGGGCGCCAGTTCTAGTCCCAGCTATTCCTCTTCTGATCCAGCTCTCTGCTATGGCCTGCATCTTCATGAGCAGTAGAAGATGGCCCAAGCACTTGGGCTCCTGCACCTGCATGAAAAGAAGCTCCTGGCTCCTGGCTTTGGATTGGCCTATTACTGGCTGTTGTCATTTGAGGAGTGAACTAATGGATGGATGACCTTTCTCTCTCTCTCCCTCCCTCTCACTGTCTGTAATTCTACCTCTCAAATATATAAAATAAAAACTTAAAAAAAAGTGGAGCATGGGCTGGCGCCACGGCTCAATAGGCTAATCCTCCACCTGCGGCGCTGGCACCCCGGGTTCTAGTCCCAGTCGGGGCACCAGATTCTGTCCCGGTTGTTCCTCTTCCAGTCCAGCTCTCTGCTGTGGCCCAGGAGGGCAGTGGAGGATGGCCCAAGTCCTTGGGCCCTGCACCTGCATGGGAGACCAGGAGGAAGCACCTGGCTTCTGGCTTCGGATCAGCGTGGTGCGCCGGCTGCAGCGGCCATTTGGGGAGTGAACCAACAGAAGGAAGACCTTTCTCCTCTCTCTCTCTCACTGTCTAACTCTGCCTGTCAAAAAAAAAAAAAAAAAAAAAAAGTGGAGCAGCCAGGACTCAAATTGGTGCCCATATGGGATGCCAGGTGTCACAGGTGGCAGCTTTGCCCTCGTGCCATAGTGCCAGTCCCCAGAAATGTTTTCTTACTACGTTAGTGTGTTTTTCTTTTATCAAGTCTATTGCTTTGTACTTTTGTGCACTATTATAGATTATTAGTAATAATAATACTGATGAAGACTTAGGTTTGAATGGCCTGTTAACACTTATATGGAAAGAAGCTTTATAAAGGATACTTAGACCATGTGTCAAAAATATTTTTTTAAAGGTGTATTTATTTATTTGAAAGGCAGAGAGAGAGGAGAAGTCTTCCATCCGCTTGTTCACTCCCCAAATGGCCACAACAGCCAGAGCTGGGCTGATCCGAAGCCAGGAGCCCAGAGCTTCTTCCTGGTCTCCCACATGGGTGTAGGGGCCCAAGGACTTGAGCCATTCTCTGCTGCTTTCCCATGCCACAACAGAGAGCTAGATTAGAAGTGGAGCAGCTGGGACTCCAACCGGTACCCATATGGGATGCTACCACTGCAAGCAGCAGCTTTACCCACTACACCACAGCACCAGCCCCCCATGTATCAAAATTTTTTTGATGTTTTATTTTCAAAAATATCAGAGTAAAACACCTGAGAACTTGGATGTGCTATTCATTTTAAAACAAATCATCATACTCTATTCCTGCTTCATCTGTTTTTCTCCTAAATGTACTCTTTTCTTTGTTTTTCTCTTTTTTTGTTGTAGAACTTAAGGACCAGAAAATTATTTATCTCTGAACTCAGCTTGTAAACAGTCGAGCAGCTTTTCTATCTATGATAATTAAATGTTAGGAATTACATTAGTATTTGCTACTCACTGTCGAATGTTAATCATAATAGCTTAATGTTCCATTCAATTTATTTTTCTTTAAAGATCATAACTTGAAATATAAGCTGTTGAAATCAAAACACTGAATAATCAAGATCTTTTTAGAAACTTGGATGCCTTAGTGTTAAACAGTTACACATGTTTTTTCTTAATCTGTTGCTAGTTACAGAGTGACACAAGGGGGCAGTCTCTCCTGCAGTATGCGTACTTTATAGTCATTCTTGGCTTTCATCATGATTTTTGTATTTGATAAAAAATATCATAAACAGAATTTTGCATTTACCCAAAACTATGTTACTATATTTTAAGGGTATGGAGTAATTTAAGGGCTAATAAAAGATTACATCAGTGTTTTTGCTTTTATTGCCTCAAATTAAGGAGAAATATAGCAGTTTATTTTTTTATTTGTATCTCATAAATACAACATAAGAAACATGGTAATTCTTCCCACCATACACACCCTCCCACCCACTCTCCCACTCCTCTTCTCCCTCCCTCTCCTGTTTAGTCTTAGAAAGAAAGAAAAAAGAAAAAAACTAAAAACTATTCCTCAACAGTCTAGACAAGGGCTGTTCAATGTTACTGCTTCTCAGAGGTGATTTCATTTTTTTAATCCTCCCTTCCTCTTTTCCCTTCTGTCCTTTCCCTTCTTTCCTTTCAGAAACTTGATTATCTTTAAAGAACCCAAGAATGATACATTTTTACAAGCTCTTAGACATACTGTAACTTATGAGACATAAAACTGTCCATTTAATACACTAAAAGGAAGTGATTCTTTATAAAAATCTTTATAAAAAAGATTTATTTATTTGAAAGAGTTACACAGAGAGAGAAGGAGAGGCAGAAGAAGAGAGAGAGAGAGAAAGAGAGAGAGAGAGAGATCCTCCATCCAATAGTTCACTCCCCAATTGGCTGCAATGGCCGGAGCTGCGCCAGTCCAAAGCCAGGAGCCAGGAACCATCTTCCACTGCTGTCCTGGATGCTTCATTAGCAGGAGGCTGAATCAGAAGTAGAGCAGCTGGATCTCGAACTGTTGATCTCAAACTGTTGCGCATATGGAATGCCTGCATGGCAGGTGGCAGCTTAACTCACTACACTACGCCACAATGCTGGCCCTCACTATTGTTCATTTTGCATAGGAAAAAATGAAACAGTGCAAGTAATGCATATTTAATAAATTTGTTTAGGGTTATAAAAATGTTCAAATTGGAAATCAAAAGATTTTTTTATGTTTTTGATTAAAGTATAGTGTCTCAGACATTTTATAGATACTTTATATTTTTCCTTTTAGCCTTGTGAATAAATTTGTTCATTCTGTACGCAGAGTTACTGAAGCAGGATAAAGTTGAATGTAATGAGTTCTGAAGAATTAGAGGAATTGTGAGACTGAAAGCAAGGCCTTAGCAACTGATCTCGGTATTAGAACACAAAGCTTCCAGATACCTTTTTAAATAATTGATCGTGGGGGCAGAAAGACATTTCACATAGCTTACAGATGGTTAAGATGCTGGCATCGCAAATCAAAGTGCCTGAGTTTAATGCCTGGCTCTGGCTCCTGACTCTGGCTTCCTGCTAATGCCTCCCTGGGAGGCAGCCTTCGTGGCTAAAGTAATTGGGTTCTTCTCACTTGTGTTGAAGCCTGTGTTGAATTTTCCACCGTATCCCACCCCCACCATTGTGGGCATTCAGGGAGTGAACCAGCAGATAACTGCTTCTGTCTGTCTGTCTGTCTGTCTTTCTCTACCTGCCTCTCAAACTAATAAAAACAATTTTAATCTGTATTTTTGTGTAAATTACAAATATTTGCTGTATAATAAAATTATGGAATATTATGTTGACAAAATAACAAACTTTTTCTGTTTTTTTTTGTCCTTGTTTTTTAAAGATTTATTAATTTATTTGAAAATCAAGAGTTACAGAGAGGACAGACAGATCTCCCATCTGCTGGTTCACTCCCCTGATGACCACAGAATGGTCAAAGTGCTTAGGCCTCTGTCACCCAGATGGAGTATGATGGTTTTGGCTTCAGCCTGGCTGGGCCCTGCCATTGCGGCCATTTGGATAGTGAACCAGTGAATGGAAGCTCAATTTCATTATATTCTCTCTCTCTTTCTCTCTCTCTCTCTCTCTTTCCCCAACTGCCTTTCAAGTAAATAAATACCTAAAAGATTTAAATAAATTATGTATATAGAGTCTGTAATATTTTTTACTTATCAACAAATTGTGGGCCTTCTCATGTTATTTGATAGTTTTGGTTTTTGAGTCATGTAGTGCCTATATTCCATAATTTAGGTAAACTATAAGTCATATAAGCATTTCACTAATGTTGGCCTTTGGATTATTTTTATTTTTTACTATTCTAACTAGTGAATTTTTTACAGATATGTATCCATAATTATTTCCTTAAAATAGTTTAGTTTACTAGAATTAGAATTGCAGGATCACAAAATATAATAATTTTAAAATTTTTTGGGCTGGCGCCGCGGCTCACTAGGCTAATCCTCCGCCTAGCGGCGCCGGCACACCGGGTTCTAGTCCCGGTAGGGGCGCCGGATTCTGTCCCGGTTGCCCCTCTTCCAGGCCAGCCCTCTGCTGTGGCCAGGGAGTGCAGTGGAGGATGGCCCAGGTGCTTGGGCCCTGCACCCCATGGGAGACCAGGAAAAGCACCTGGCTCCTGGCTCCTGCCATCGGATCAGCGCGGTGCGCCGGCCGCAGCGCGCCGGCCGCGGCGGCCATTGGAGGGTGAACCAACGGCAAAAGGAAGACCTTTCTCTCTGTCTCTCTCTCTCTCACTGTCCACTCTGCCTGTCAAAAAAAAAAAAAAAAAAAAAAAAATTTTTGAGGGATTGACGCTGTAGTTCAGTGGGTTAAGCCATTACCTACAGTGCCAGCATCCCATTTGGGCACTGTTTCGAGTCCTGGCTGCTCCATTTCCTATCCAGCTCCCTGTTAATGCACCTGGGAAAATAGCCCAAGGTGGTCCAAGTCCCTGGGCCGCTGCACCCATCTGGGGGACCCAGAA